CTGCTCCCCCAGCCTAAGGGCCAAAACGCCGAACTAATGAAAGACCTCAGCACCATATAAGACCTAGTCGCCTCACCGGCATAGGCTGAGTACTTGTAATGCCTAAGGCGCAGGTAGCTTGGGTATGAACCTTGTAATGCATAGCCCGCCCTGGCATACAACAAGTTGAACCCGTTATGGACAACCGATGTCAACTTAACCCGGGTGCAGACAGGTCGGGCATATACCCTACTATGTTGCTCACCTTGGTGTACATAAGGTTACCCCTGCAAAGTACTGGGAGACAATTCAGAGTGACGACAGTCGAGAAACTCCCACTTCGGGTACTTAGCTCGACAGCTTAACAGTTCGGGTTAAAATGATCACTTCAGTGAATAAAGTAAATTGCACAACACTTAGCAAAGTGTATTTTCATTACAAATATTCCATTACAAAAAGTTTGTTACAAAAAAAAAAAAGATCAAGCTCGCAGGTACAGGGACTGAACTACTTCGGAAGCTCATCGCCTTTGCTAGGGACCTCCTCAGGGGCATTAACCAGACCGGTGGCCACTGCATCGTCATTGGCGCCTTCGTCCTCAGAGTCCAGATCATCCGCTGACTGACGCACTATGTCATCAGTGATCCGTGAAGTGGTGATGGCACTCGTATCAAGACCAGGGTAGACGTGCCTAATTAACCACCGGCTGAGCTTGAAACCCTTGCGGTAGGCCTCGGTCATCACGTCATCAAACCTCGAAGACTTAACATAGTCAATGACAGCCTGGACCTTGGTCTCCTTGAGGGCATCTTCGAAGATCTCGGTCTTCTCTTTGAGGTCACCTCTGAGGTACTCCACATCGTGCTCCAGCTTTCCTTTCGCTTCCTTGAGGCCCTGCACCTCAAGCTTCAGAGCATCTCGGTCTGCCTTGAGGTTGTCCATCTCGAGCCTTAAGGCCTCTTGGCCAACCTTGAACCCGTTCACCTCGGCCCTCAATCTGTCCTTGTCTCGGGCCAGCTCGCTCTTCTCCGCCAACACCTCGATGAAGCTCTTCTGAGCTGAGGCATCATTCTGCAAGCGGTGGATCTGACCGCGAGCTGCCCTCAGTTCGGTATGGGCTGCGCGAGATGACTTCTCAGCTTCCAAAGCCCGTCTCAGATGCCGATCAGATTAAAGGGTCAAGGCACGCACGGCTGAGTTCACCTACAAAAAGGAGACCAGTCAAAAAAAAAAAAAGAAGAGAAGAGGATCCTTCGCAAGGAACTCACCACCATGGTATGAGAAGCAGCTCGGGCACCGAGCTGACCAAGAGTGAGATCAGCCCATTTTGTGACCTCCGGGTACGCAGCCTCCTTACTCTTCTGAAGGCTGCACTGGGAGTTCAGAATGCTTTGACCCTCCTGACTCCCCGAGCTGGATACCGACATCTCTGTCGCATGGGTGGACTCCTCGGAAGCTTCAGCGGCGACACCAGCAAGACAAGCCCCGGCTGTAGCCTCTACAAGGCGAGTCTCAACGGCAGCTTCAGTGGCATCCCCGACCGCAGTCTCGACAAGCTTAGTGGTGGGCCCTGCCGCCATCTCAGGCCCCTGAGGCGCCATGTCTCCCTCCAAGTCGATGACAGGTTGAGCGTCGAGGAGCTCGGGCTCCGGAGCCGGGGCCTGTGGAGGCTAAGCCTCGGCAGAGACCTGTAGGGACTCGACGTGCGCCTTCTTGGCTACGCGCTTCTTCCTCTTCATCTGGCGGAAGAGCCTCTGACTGTCTATCTTTTTCACCTCCATAGGACCTACAGTGAAGCTCGGCGTTAGTAACCCTGAAGTAAGTATGCGAACAAAAAAGCCGAAGTAAAGACAAACCTACCCGGGCTCAAGCCGGCTTGGATGAGCTTCTCCTCGGCTGTGAAGTCCTTGTAATTCAACCCGAGTTGAGCCCACGACTGAAGTGACTTCTTAGTCTTCCCATCAAGGATAACATCAGGGTCTTGAATGGCCACCCTCCAGTCAGTGGGGAAAGGCCACCCCGTGCTGCTCCGAACTACGAAGTAGTCCCGCTTTCAGGCCGGGACTTTACTCGGGAGGATGTGCATTAATTTAAAACCCAGACGGGGAGACAGATAATAAGCCCGTCTGTGCCCGGGGAGAGCGCCCGAAGCGCTCTTCTTTATTGCCAAGATAGAACAGAGGATATCTAGGTCAATGGAGAAGGCACGGTCGAAGCAAAGGGAAATGGTCCCAACCACATCCGTATGGAATTCGGGTGAAGCTGGTCCAAGGTAATGTTAAAGTGCACCAGCACCTCAACAATCAGGGGGTGAAGAGGGAGGCGGAGTCCGGCGACCAGTTGCTCATTGAAAACCACGATCTCATCGGGACCGTGCTCCCATGGAAAACTGCCGGTAGGAAGGCTGTAAGAGTACTCCCTAGGAAGGTGGAACCTCTGTATGAGATCCTGAAGTCTCTCCAGAATCATGGTGGAAGGGCCGAACTGATCAAGCACTCGACCTCGGTGGGAGGTGGATGCCAGATGACCCGAAGCCACCCGTACATCGGACGAGGTACCCACCTCTAGTTCGTCGATAAGGCTATCTACACTAGACGACATGAAAGCACGAAAGGAAAGAAAGTTTAGAAAAGAAAAGGAAGTTCGGGGATTCACCGCAGAAAACGCGAACCGAACTGAGGAAATAACTGAGCTAGAAAACCCGAGCTAGGAACCTCAGACGCAAGCCTGATACTGACGCTGAAGACTTTGTGGCGAAGAAACGACCAAAGGTCCCCCACTATTTTTAGCCACCGCATCCGGGCGTTAACGGTCAAGATTGAGATGATCCAACGGCTCTCAAAGAAACCGACTACTGGCTCCTCGAGGCGAAATTAGTTTAGCGCATTTTTTGGTGTCCACGAAGTCCAAATCGCGTGATGTCCGCGCGTAAACCGAACGCGACCTGGGTTTCTTTTGATCGAGCCGGGCACTGGACCGGTCCAGCTAGGCGAAGCGCGCGACGGAGTGGCATGAGTACCGAAGCCAAATCCACCCGGCACGTCATGAACTCCCCGCACTGGGTCAACACCGCCAGCACAGGGAGTGGGGGACAATTGATGGAGGGTGATTTGGCCCGACCTCGTAGCACGGGTACACGTGGGCATGACCTTGCTCAAGCGATGACTAAGCGTGACAGCACAGCAAGCGCAACCGCAACTCGGTGGGAAGGGCTCACCGAGTTTACTCTGGCAACTCGACGGGTTAGGCTACTCACCGAGAGCCGCCTGGCTTGCACCTCCTTCCCAAGGCTGAGGCGCTCCGAGCTACCTCCGAGCTCGGGGCCCCCTGACCTTTCCTAATGGCCGAGCTCCCCCTAGTGGATTTTAGGCTACTCCCGAACAGGAACACCCCGATCCGCTTCTAGATATCCCGAGGTAGAGACACCTCGGGCCAGACAGCTCGGTGTAGCTTGCCACAGGCAGCTCGCCACTTGCAGGGTAGCTCGCAGAAGAGCAATTCGACACATCACAGGAAGGCCTCCTGCCCGACCACCGTACCTGACAAACCTAGAAACTGCAACCATGTCTCTCGTCAGACAGTGTTGTGCCTACCACCTTTAGAAGGTGTCTTACACCTGACAGGTACGTACACTGCAACAACGACTCCGCGCGTGCCACCTCAGCACTAGCTGTAACGGCTGCGGCAAAATGATAGTGGCGGTTATACCTGCCCTGTCAAAGGCAGGTGGGCTTGATTCGACAGAGTTCTGTTATAAGTAGCTCAATCCCAAAGGACAGAGGTAACTTTCTAATACTCGCGCTATCTGCACTCTTAGCTTTCTTCCTCTCTTTGCATCTTTCATAGAATTCTAACTTAAGCGTCAGAGTGTTCCCGCCGGACAAGCCCCCGGGGATTCCTCATCTTCTCCATCTCAGGTACCTTTCAGGAGCCACGCAAGTGCTAGCTGGGAGTGACCGGATTGCACACCATCAAATATATAGTATGCTAAAATATAATATAATATGTTAAAAACTTAAAAAATATATTTCTTCACATATATAAAATATATTTGCATTGTATACAATATATGAATATGGCGTGAGATACAAAAAACATTTCACCTTGTTAACCTTATTTTTGAATCATATAGTTGTGTTCAAAAAACTATTTTTCATAGTGTTGAGAGAAAAAGAGATTTTGTTGATTGTAGAACCATGGTTTGCTGGTCCTAAACAAAACTAGCAATAAAATGAAAATGCCTTCTAAAAGGCTATGTGTTTGTATACCAAATGAAACACAAGCACTAACACGAAAATAACACTCCCCAAGTCTTACACAATAATATTTTCATCCCCAATTCAAATTTTTTTTATTAATTATATTTAACCAAATGCCCTTCCTAATATTGGCATTCCAAAAATTTCCTTTCTCAAATGCTTACGACAACTTTAACCCACAAATTATTCAATATATGATGCATTTTGTGAAAATTCATTCAACATAGCTCAAACGTCAACCAACCAAAAGCAATATATAGCAATGGCACACTTTTACGGTTAGTGAAACATGAAAAATATGCATGAACAAAAAAAGAGATCATGACATCATTTGATGTTTTTAAGATGATTAATTGGACTCTCCATCCAATTATGTCACATTTTAACATGCATCAAACACTCCACATGCACCATAGTTGGCCTCTACATCCAATTATAAATGAATCAAATTCAAATTGCCATAGGGGCCATTTGCTAACAGCTGAAATGGTTGAATGAACTGAAAAGCTTAGTGCTTTGTCTTCTAGTGAAAAAAGAGGTTGTGGGCTCCTTTAATAGCTGAAGCTTAAGTAATACCCTTGAATATTTTATTATTTAATTATTTTACCCACTAAAAGACAAAAGAACAAATCGTTTCAGTTCAGCAACTTCAACTGGTATTAAACGGCCCCTTAATTAGATCAGATTTGAATCCAAAATTGGACAAAGGGATACCATTTGCAGGCTACTACAATTTTAGTATTTCAAATTTGTTCAGAAGCCTTAAACCCTTGAAAGATTCCATGGAAATTCATTAACTCATGAATATGATAGGACTAAAAGCAATTCAAAACTCCAAAGAAGCATTAATCTTCAAGACAACTAGGTGGCAATGGTATAGGATGGGATGAAGATATTTGGATATCATCAACATCATTATAAGAATTAAAGATCATCCCACTTTAATTTCTCCCAAACCTAGCAACCTACTGAATGTTACAATTACCAACTAGTGGTGAAAAAGGCGGACTTCTGGTCTTCAGATCTCCCATGAAACCTGAGAACGTGATCTACCTTAATCACCTAAAAGTAAGATGCCAGAGAATAGAGGGCCCACCACTGTCTCATAATCTCATTCTGGATCTGGAGATCCCCCAGGGACCAGCTGCATTAGAAAGGCTAGTATCAATAAATTTGTGGTGGCAACCCAACCTTCAGAATGTAAAACGATGTTATCAGACTGCACTTTAGACAATCACATTCCACTTACAATGGCAATGTTGTTTCCATTAAGCAAAATCTGATCAAGCTTTGTTATCCGCCGTCCTTCGGTTGTAATTTCACTGGGAATAACAAATTAAACTCAAAAACCATAATCATGAAATTACGTTTTAGATCACAGAGCAGCAACATAAAAAAGTAAGGCCATAAAGTGATCAAGATATATGAGAAAGAGCACAAATGATGCAGGTGCATATTGTTGTCACAGTGGAAACCAGTACTCCACTCAAATCAAGTTGATGCAGTAAAGCATAAGCCAATTAATGATGTGGCTACAGCCATCGGGGGCAAAGCATCATCTTCACTAGTAGCATTTCTTTGAAAATAAGAAATAAAAGGAAATGCTCAACAAAAAACTGGAAATAAAAAAAATTAAAAAAAAAAAACAGCAAACCAAAGTGAAAGCTAAATTACTGTAGCCGAAGTAGAAGAAAAGAGAAGAAGAAGAAGAAGAAGAGATGCTGGAATGTCGAAMTDYWYTGCTCARTYRACAGTACTATTATTTATATTATGGTGTAGTACAATGATACAGGAAGTTACTAGAATGCCCCTGATTAGTGATGGGACACCCAGACAACTTAAAGCATTAAACAGGACTAGGCCCATTAACAAAGGCCCAGTACA